TGCTGCGTACCTACCACTTTTCTGAAGCTTTTCATGTAGGCTTGAAATTTCAATACTAGCCAGTAATTCTAATAGGTATTTGGGAGCACTAACAGAGATGCAGGTGACCCTACTACAGTTGAGATCAGCAGCATGGTTGGAATACCTCTGAATAGCTAGGCTGCCATGTCTCAGGTTGACCACTAAAGACCATGGGTAACTCACAAATGTGTTTCCATTGTGGTCCAATTATTACACAGAAAATGGATCTGTGTGTTGGTCAGTGTGCAGGAGTCCTGTACATGACAGGACAGAGGTTTACACCCTCCTTGCTCTTCAGCTTGGAGGTTTAGTCATGCAGCTCTGGTCCTATTGCATTGTATTAAGGCACGACAGAAGGCATGATTAGCATTTTCCATCCTTTACGGTATGACTAAAATGGAAGAAACCAGGCTTCCATATATTCCTACAGTAATTTTTAGATGCTATGAGTAAACATGATGTAACCACAGGAACAGCAGGGATGTAACTCAAAACCACGTGAGGGAAATGTGAACTAGCACTCATCGGCTTTTGAGTTAGACCATAAAGCAAGCCCCAGTTTCAAACATTTTCTAAAACTGTTTTGCATTCTTTCCTGTCTCTTTCTTCCTCAGAGTTTCAAAAGAAGTTTCAGACTATCCTTACCATTAAAGGGGGAAAAAAACAAAACTCAAAACCCAAACCACTTCACCCCAGGATTTAGCTGTTTATGCAAATAATTGATTTTTGTTGCTTGTTTCACCTGCAAAATGCGGTCAGCTAGAAGAATGGCTACTTGTAATGAGCTTCTCATGAGCAGTCATCACAAATAGTGTTTGAGAAATCCAGTGGAAATAGCTGCAAGCCACAAATAGATTTGGGAAAGCTGGCAGCTGTTTATGGATACCTTGTGATGAGGAGAAAAGCAATATTTTTCAAGTTATTAATTAGAGTTTCAATTCTTGTCCTTATATAAAGGTAGGAAAAAAGTTCATCACTCCAACTGTAAGCGTAAGATGGAGACATTCTCTGGGTACTGAGGGATTGTTGTATTCGGTAACAGTGAATGATTTTGTGATGATGATTTTTGTGGATTTTATTCAGGGTACCTATTAGGTTCTGGGAGCTTGTTTAATTTCTCTTGGTTGCTCACAACGTTCCTAATTTAGTCAGAGATTTATCATGTCCTCCTCTGGTGCTGGTACGTGTGCTGTGTCAAAGCAAATTCCCTAGTCTTATGGTTATAGCCCACAGCCAATAGAAGAATTTGTAATATTCCAAGTAAATAGTTCAGGTTTGGAAAGGGAATTTGGTGTAGCATCTGCAGGCTTTTTTCTTTTTTTGCAT